TGACCTTGCTGTGTGGGACAGCAACTTGAAATGGACAGGTCACACTGCCTCAATCAATTAGAGTTAGATGGCTGTGTGGCACAACACAAGCACTGCTTATGCAGCCTCTCTGACTCACCGGGCCACTGCCTCAGCGGCTATGACATAGCAATGCTGCGCACAGACCAACTGTGCATGGACCAGTGTGCACAGCCGGCCCTGAACTCTTCATGTATATAAACTGGCCTCTGCTACCCTAGGGACCTCAGTTTCAATCTCTTGTCCCTAGGCCAGTAAGCACCTGTACATACTTACTTTCCTATGCTAACTTACTTGTCCCTAGCCTTAGGTTTGAGCTTGCTCACCATCACTTTGTTCAATCCAGTCGAACACCCCCAGCTTTTGGTTTGTTTGCTCCTTGTCGCTTGACCCTAAGTTGCAACAACACTATTCCTTATCCCTTGCTTTGCTCCTTGCTAGTGCCTTCTTCAGTCTTGTTCTCAGCCTCAAACACAATACAAAGTGCCTTCCACTTGGCCCCTTGTGGCTTCACCAAGGTGGGAGTCCCCTCCAAAGGCTGGTAGACATCCTCATCATTGGAGCCCTCAGAGTCCTCAATGTTGATGGCTTCTGAGGCCTTCTACTTGTCCACTCATGGCTTTACTGGGGTATTATTGTTCTTGCTGTCATCCACATTGATAGGCTTGGATGCAGTGGTCAGCTGGCTCATCATTAACTTGCAAATAACAACCTTGACAATCCTTGACCTCACCTAAGAGGCCTTGGGTGGAGGTGCCTGCATGGGCAAAAACACCACTGCAGCCATGTTCTTGCTCAGCTTGTTGGTATCTGGTGATGAGCTTTTGCCATACCCTCCTGACAAGGCAGGCATCTGGTGCCTTGGGGGTCCCTTCCAGTCAGGTGTTTTGTTTGCAAAGTAGTGGCATGCATGTTTGACCTTGATGTTGTGTGCCGGGTTGTGCATATGATGACCAGCATCTTGTCTTTACTTAGGGATTGGAGGAAGGTAGTTAGCACAATGATGGCAACAGGGAGTGGAATGTGCAGGTACTCATGTCTTGTTTGACCCTCTCAAACACAAAAGGGTACTCTGTGTCCACTAGGCCCTTGATCATTCAGTCAAGTTTTGGCATGAACAGCTCTGTAATTTCTTTGACCTTGTTGCTGCTGCTGATCTTCTCCTCACCTGGCCAGCGCACCTTGTTGGAGTAGTTCTTTTACACAAATCCTTGCATAACCAAGAGCTTGGTGTGGTGATTCTAAGGAAAGAGGTTGTTGTACTTGTGCTCCCAAGGGTCACCGGTGACCACTGTCTGATTGTCAGTGCAACACTACTTCATTCAAAGATGAGTTACTTACCTTCCATCTCCCTCATGTTGAACCCAATGATGCCCACCTTGTCCATCAATGTCAGCTTCTTCCTCTAGTCCAGATGCAGAAATTCAAGGCTGAACTTGTGCCTGTTGAGATCCTTCTGAAACTTGATGGTGCCCTTGTTAGAGGATGTGCCAGCCTGCTTAGATGGTTTTGGAACCTGTGTGGATGCTTTGGATGGTCCGGCAACCTGCTCAGACAGTTTGGAGTGTCATTTTAAAGGTGCACTGTCTGGCTAAGATGACACTGCAATGGCAGGGCCACTGGGCTTGCTCAGCCTGCTCATGTTTTTGTTGCCCTCCTTGCTTGCCTTGTTGATGATGCTCACAAATGTTTGATAACTGTGTCATGTAAATAATGAGCTCCATGTTGCAGTCATGTAGATGTATGTAGAGACTTACTATATATATGGCTTGAAGTGCATGAGGGAGGTGTCTTTGTTTCCCTGCAGGTAGGTGCTCAGAAACTATGAGATTGCATTGTCAGTACAGCACTCAATGTAATAAGCAAGAACTTACATTTTTGGCTGTCACAGTCTCATAGAGCTGGGCCAGGTACATGTTCATGTTGATGAGGTTTACTGCGATCAGGAAGGCTGTGAAGAAGTCATAGCATAATGCGAGGTTGTTGCATTGAGAGGGTGGTTAGTGGAATGTACAGTACTCATGATGTAGGTACTTAGGGTCTGTTCGGCGACGAAGTTTGCCCTTAGCTTAGCTTAGGTGCACGTGATACAACAGTCTATACTCCTATATTGATGC